TGGGTTCGATTCCAACCGAGGGCAAGACTGCAGCCAACTCTGGACTAGAATACCTTTTGAGAGACAATGCTAAAGCGAATTTCACTGGAATAGTGAGGCCCATTGATACAACTCCAACCCACTCCTAAATATTATAGATGTTCTATTTGCTTTGATCGTGCCCACTGTAGACGTTTTTTTTGTTTTTGATTGCTACTATGTGACTTAACCCTGCGATATTTATTCCTTAGTTTAAAATATTTTCTTAATCTAACCCTCTTCTCTTAGCAAGTAATACAAATATAGTATTTCAAGGTTGGCACACAAGGGACCATGGCATAATAGTTATATACTTGGCATTATGGATAGGATAAGAGCTGCGGAGAAAACGATAGTTGGATAACAGAACACGAGTTTGATTATTGGCCTGGTCCGTGAAGTAAAGCCTTGACCATGAGACTTACCTGGTGCACATGACAAAGAGTGAGGAGCGAATCTGCAATTTCAAGTTAGTTCCCCAATTAGTTTAAGAATCCAGACTTTGGCAGCATGTTCAGTGAGGCAGAAGTATATGATCTATTACGGGATTGAGGCAGAATGTAGAACATTATGCCTCAAATGGCCCGGATATGGCGGCAATGATCGAGTGAATCAACTGAACCAGGGAGATAAGAGAAGGATCGAACGGAGCAAGGTGAAGACGCTGAAACTACTTGGATGAAGAGGATTGTGGACTAAAAGGGCAGACTTAGATCAACACTCCCCAGCACAGTGGGGAGGGAAGAGGGAACCAGCGGGAAGTGTGAATAGGTCACACTAAATCTGATAAAAAGCGCACAACTGGATTAGCTTAAAATAAGACAATTATAAATTTTGATAATGAAGGGGATAATACGGAGATATAGGATAAATGAATTCATTAAAACAAAAGAGATAATACAACTATTCATCAGGAAATAGGTTAAAAGATCGACCTGATTTGTTTCTTTGACGAGTTTCAATGTAGTGCTAATTGCAAGGCTTACTGATGATGCCGGCGAAACGTCTGGGAATGTACCAAGTTCACGGTTCAAATCCGGAAATTATCACGAATACTATGGATTCTGAATAAGATGCGTCCCATAAGGCTTCCTAACAATAAGGCCTAGTTGCTTAAGGGCCAAATAGCGTATATATAACGAAAGGAGATCGTGATCATAATAAGGGCCACGTAATCTTGGTTTATATACATTTGATTAGATGAATCATTTGCTAAGAAATTTAGGATCAATAAATGGATGGAGGCAAGATTCTCTACCGTCATTCGACTGGGAAATCCATGTGGATTCATTATAATATCTGGAACCAGGCCCTGTGTAGAGAAAGGCATGTCCTCCTGGGGGATAATCAGACCGACAACACCCTTTTGTCCATGCCGGCTGGAAAATTTGTCGCCGACCTCAGGACGTCGCGTTTGTCGTAGAAGAACTTTGACAACGGCCTGGTTGCCTTCAGTAGTGGAGAAAAGCACTTTCTCAACATATGAGGGTTCGATTCCTTTATAGTCGACAGGGGCACGTTTAAACTCCATCTACACTGGCCAGGCGGTCAAAATAAAAACATCTTGTTGGTTAAAATGTTAGTTGGATAATGAGAATAAAAGGAGATATAGTGATAAAGGAAGTACCAGATATTAAATAAATGAACATAGGATAAAATAATTATGTAAAAACTAAAGGGAAAAAGAGAAGTGGTTTATAACGAAAAAAATCTTGAACCAGATGATAGCGACCAAAATTCAGACAAAGAAGGCTCAGATAATTCTAGGATAATGTCAATATGACAGCTAAGAAAAAACGTTAATGCCCTCAAGATTGACAACCCAGTCTAAGAATAGCTCGACATCCAGTTAGTTCGAATTTATCTATACCTAATACAAAATTTTTCAAGTCATTCAATGAGCACCAAATATTATTGCAACGTCTACTTTGGTCAGAAGAGGGAATACAAAGTTTTTTTATAATTGGTGCCTAATCATGAGTTGCTGAGCAGCATCAACAGCAAGGTTCAAAAGCAGATGTATGTGATGACTGCATCGATAATTTTCTCATAGATATAAAAACAAAAATGCCATGTCTTTAAGTTTGGCAAAGCCCATATTTCGCTGCACAGAGACGGACTGGCCTCCTGTTTTCAGATAGCCATTAAAGAATGTGAAGCATGCTAAGTTCTCTGGCTTTATGGTTATTTGAGCTTCCAATAAGGGAGCAGTGGCCAGATCGACTGTCAAAATTTTCGCCAGTATGTAGGCTGGCAACGCCAGTAAGCTGGCCCGCCCTTGACATCAAATCAAAATGCTTCACTGATAACCGGCCAGGGTATAACTAAAAGATTATGATAATCATATTCCCCCATGACCTGATTACTTCCCTACCCTTAGGTTCCGTGTTCCTTCCTTTCATTCACATTATGAATGACTATTAGAATTAACAATCCAAGCGCAAACACTACATTAAATAGAAAAATAAGGTAAAAAGTGATAACTGGAGTGATAGCAATAGAAGATATGTAATTGGAGCAGAAGACAATAAATAAAGTGTGAAAATAGTTATCTAAGGCTAAGGCATAATATACAAGTCTGGCTTAAAAAACCTTGTACACAGGATAAGGCTAAGTGAAAATAAAAGGGGATAAATCACTTTTTTGAGGGTCCCAGCAGGAAATCCATCGAAGAAAGACAGGTCATATGATATCAATCATACATTTAGTGCCCGCTAATGTAAGAGATCAATCTAGTATGACGAATATTTTGAATAAATCCTTTAGTGTGATGGGTAAGAAATAGTTCTAAGAAAATGGTGAGAATTTCAGTAAGATGAGAGGCCAAGTGGAGGCACCATTTCGGATCAAGAAGTAAGCCATGGAATGAGAGATCAGTTGTAAATATTACTATTTTTCAGTAAACCAACTCAAATGCGAGTAGATCCCATGGATACATATCTGAGCAGAGATGAGCTTCGAGCATCATATAATGGACGAAAGCTCAGCACGTTTTTACCCGAAACGAGGGAGGAATACTCGTCGACTGCGTC